AAGGAAGGAAGGAAGGAAGGAAGGAAGGAAGGAAGGAAGGAAGGAAGGAAGGAAAAAGCAAGCAAGCAAGCAAGCAGGACTGGCACTGAAAAAAAAAAAATCGGAAGTGAAGCTGTGCTCAAGTTGTAATACAACACCAGCCTTGAATGAAAAACATCAGGAAGACAGTGCCAGGTCCTGAGTTCAAGCCCTAGTACTGGGCATGCATGCATGCATACATACATACATACATGCATAACCTACACACATGCACATAACACACATAAAATATAATGGAGTAATTTTAATACTAAAGTACAAGATCTACATAACAGCCTAAGTCCCTTGCAACTTCAAAAACCTCTATAAATCTTCTTCCTGTATTCCTGAAGCTAACTCATCACTCTTACCCTGCAACACTAAAGATGGGTACTTCCAACTGAACATAATTACCAAATATTTAGTCTATGTTCACCTGCTTGATAAAACTCCTACATCTCTCTGGGGTAACCTAAAGTATTCATACACTTCCTTCTCACTTCCAAAGAGGATTAGTCCCACATTTATCAAGTTACAAACCCTACAATGACTCGGTCTCTTCAGACCATCCCAACTACTCTCAGTACTGAAAGGACATGTTATGCATTGTTCATAATTCCACTGGGTTGATCAAGGGGTAAGACTCCCAAAGGCTGTGTTTTGATTACAAAATAGGTCTTCTCTTCGCTGTCCCTAGGTCCTTGTTTGGAGCTCCTTTACGGTTACAGGGAACAGCTCCATTAAGTAAATGGAGACACACCACTTTCTCTGAAGTTACAAAACACCTTCATCCCAGGAGGCACCAGAGGGGAAAAAATTCTTGAATTCTAAGATGTACAGCATACTTCTTCAAACTGAAAACAGCATTTTTTTTTTTTTTTGGTTGGTCGTGGAGCTTGAACTCTGGGCCTGGGCCCTGTCCCTCTGCTCTTCAGCTCAGGCTAGTGCTCTACCACTTGAGCCACAGTGCCACTTCTGGCTTTTTCTGTTTATATAGGGCTGAGTAATCAAACCCAGGGCCTCATGAATGCAAGGCAAGCACTCTACTACTGAAGCACCTTCCCAGCCCAACAGCATTCTTCAGAATCTTATCTACTGGAGTTTTGACTTCCAGCACCTCTTGCAAATCCTTGTATCACCCTTTTCCACTGATTCTCAGCTGTTAAAGTGAATATAATTTGTCCATAAATGGTCAAGATCTTTAAACATAGGAAACAAAGACAAAGAGAAAATTTTCAATACACACAGAGAAAGTTTTCAAAGGTTATCAAATGCTACATTCACTAATAGAGGGGAAGCATTTATACTTACAGTTGGTACATATTCAGATGGAAACTTATTTGTTGTATAAGATATCAGGAGACATGTTTTACCAACAGCACCATCGCCCACAACTACACACTTAATTGTCTGCATGGCAGAAATAGTTTTGTATCCACTTTAAATAATTCAAAGTTGATGATGACCTACAAAAGAAGATTTAAGATACTTATTTTATGTATGTGGAGATATACATACCCATATATGTAGTTTTTCTCCTTTAACTAGCAAAAGGTTTCATTAACAGCATATAATAGAATTAGAAATGACTACTATGGCTGAAAGGGTCTAAAAGGAGAAAGTCTGATACTCAAAGTCACAATAACAAGGTCAAATTTCTAAGTCTCTGATTCCTGGTTGTTTCAACTTCTAAAAAGCCCAAAGTGGGGCAGTATATTTCTTTGTACAACAAAAGCATATGCAGCTTGGCAAGTAATATTGTGAAACCTTTCCTTCATATGTACACACATACACACACATATATGTGCACCTGTATGTGAAACATCACAAATCAAGAGCTGCTTTACTTAGAGCTTCAGGAATATGGTCTATAAACAAGCAAAGCACATTTCTACCACCCCATTCCAAATATGAGTAACCTGAGAAACTCGCCTCAACAGCTGTTGGAACATCAAGTTACCTAGTTCTCTAGGTCAATATTCATGAATATTGAGGATACCTTGAAATAATTATTGGCCTTTTTCTTTTGATAGCACTGGGGTTTGAACTCAGGGCCATGCTTTCTAGGCCTACCATTTGGTAGATTGTCTATCATATGAATCCCATAATCAGCCTTTTTAGTTATCTTTCGGATATAGTCTCAGGGCTCAGACTTTTTACCCATAACAGCTTACAACCACAATCCTCCTACCTATGCCTTACACAGGGCTAGGACTAGAAATATGTATGACCCTGACTTATTTGTTGGGATAAGGTCTCATTAACTTTTTGCCTGAACTGGCTTTGAACTGTAATAAGACCGCCTGCTCCTGAGTAGCTAAATTTACCAGTGTGAATTACTGTGTCCAACCCATCAGCAGCCATTTCCCTCAAAACTTTGAGCCAGGCACCAGTGGCTCACACCTGTAATCTTAGCCACTCAGGAAGCTGAAATCTGAAGATTGTGGTTCAAAGCCAGGCCAGCCAAGAAAGCCCACGAGTCTTCTCTCCAATAAACTACTCAGAAAAAGCCAGAAATAACTGTGGTTCAAGTGACAGAGTAGTAAGTAGCCTTGAGCACAAAGAGGCTCAGGGACAGTGCCCAAGCCTTGAGTTCAAAGGAGGGGGGAAGCAAGAAGGAAGGGAAGGAGTGAGGAAGGGAGGAAGGAAGAGGGGGAGGAGGGGAGGGAGGGAGGGAGGGAGGGAGGGAAATTAGGGTAAAAAGAATCTTAGAGAGCCAGGCGCCGGTAGCTCATGCCTGTAATCCTAGCTACTCAGAAGGCTGAGATCTGAGGATCAAGGTTTGAAGACAGCCCTGTCAAGAAAGTCCAGGAGACTCTTATCCCCAATAAACCACCAGAAAACTGGAAGTGGTGCTGTGGCTCAAGTGGTAGAGCACTAGCCTTGCGCTGAAGAGCTGAAGGAGAGTGCCCAAGCCCAGAGTTTAAGCCCCATGGCCGACAAAAAAAAAAATCTTAGATTCAATTATACTTCAAAAGTGTGTGTGTGTGTGTGTGTGTGCGCGCGCACGCACACACACACACACACCTGTATCCAGATGCCTTCCTAAATGGGATTCAATTTCTTGGTGCCCAGAGCTGCCATTTTAAGACACAAAATTAGAGCTACCTAATTCACCTAAATATAGATAATAGGTAGGCTGCCATGCCTATGTGTTCTTACAGTCTTCGTAACATTTAATCATAATTTATAAATGTCTTCCAACAACTCTGTATTCAAACCTCTGCAACTCACAGAACGCTGTATGCAATCTATTCCATCTTACATAATACTTCTTTTGCACTTAGCACAAAGACTGGTACCACTTTGTGAACTGTTAAATGAACACAAAAATTGTATCATAATTGCTAATGCCTAGCAAGGCAGCCCTGAGTTCAAACCTCAGTAGTCAGGGGCAGGAGTTCAAACCTCAGGAGTCAGGGGCATAACAAAAGAATGTGAAACTACATAAGGGATTAGTTAGGGATGGGTAATCGGAGGAACTATATATACTCTCACATTACTCATCAAAACTATCTGGATTAGGAATGGTGATTTAGCTCAATGGGAGAGTTCTTGTCTAGTACAGACATACTGTTTGATCCCCAGTAACAACAACAAAATTCCTTTAGCTGGGCCCTGGCGGCTCATACCTGTAATCCTAGCTACTAGGAAGGCTGAGATCTGAGGATCTTGGTTCAAAGTCAAGTCTGAGATTCTTATCTCCAATTAACCACCAGAAAACCAGAAGTGGCGCTGTGGCTCAAAGTAGTAGAGTGCTAGCTTGAACAGAGAAGCTCAGAGACAGCACCTATATGAAGGCTCCTAAGGTGGTAGAATGGAAATTTTAACCCAAGTCATCCAACTCTCAAGTCTACTCTTAAATCTTTCATCACACTTCCTCTACATAAGAAATGGCATTAATAAAAACAAGTATAATCACTGCATTAAACTGGCAACTACAGGCCCAAGAGAGTTGCCAGCAACCAAAAGCCGAAGTCAAGGGGGGAAAAAGGAAGTAAAAAGTAGGAGTTAAGTTCACTTCCTGTTTCTTCACCTTGCAGAAAACTGCTGAATATTATTGGAAGGGAAGCAAGAAGACAGAATTACTAAGAGTTTGCTCTTCCCTTTTCTATTTCTCTACAAATCTTCCCCTTTTTGGGGGGTGAGGGGTGTCAGTAATGGGGCTTTTGAACTCAGGGCTTGAACACTGTCCCTGAGCTCTTTTGATCAAGGCTAGAGCTCTACCACTAAGAGCCACAGCTCTTCTTCCAGTTTTCTGGTAGCTAAATGGAGATAAGAGTCTCATAGACCTTCCTGCCTAGGCTGGCTTTGAAGTATGATGCCCAGATCTCAGCCTCCAGGATTACATAAACCTGGCACCCAGCAAGCCTTCCATTTTTTAGGCTTTCTAACCTGACGCTCAACCATTTGTTGGAAACTGATTGTGGGTACCTTGCTAGATTTTGGAGTCTCACTGGCTATAACAATATGCCACTTTAATCTTCATGTGACTCCATCTTCCCTTGTCTAAATATGAAGACTGCAATATGTAACCTTCATAAAGGACTAATTTTTTTTTTTGGTCGGTCATGGGGCTTGAACTCTGGGCCTGGGTGCTGTCCTTCAGCTCTTCAGCTCAAGGCTAACACCTCTATCACTTGAGCCACTTCCCGCTTTTTCTGCTTATGTGGTGCTAAGGAATCAAACCCAGGACATCATGCATCAAGGCAAACACTCTACCACTAAGCTACCTTCCCAGCCCTAGATTTATTATTTATTATATATAAAATGCTAATTTCAGCAACTTACAGGAAACTTAAGTCAGAATATTAGTGTATCCAATGTTCCCTTCCAGTTAAAATAATATGGAACTGCTAAAGCATGAAAACTGTCATTACACCACCCAGAATGGTGGAGCAAAGTTATTTCACACCCGTAAGCAAATATTACACCTCTCTAATTGTAATCTTCATTTGCATCACTTAGAATTAGGATTGGGCAATTTACATCATGAAAAGATGATTCTGCCAGCCATAAGGGAAAAGAGCTATGAAATATCATGTATCTATCTTTCACCTTCTTTCCCAGTAATCTACCTCTATGAGACAGCAAAACTAATCCTAGTATCTTCTAAATTCCTATACCAGTCCTGGGGCTTGAATTCAGGTGCTGTCTTTGTGCTTCTGTGCTCAAGATTAGCACTCTACCACTTAAGCTACAGCTTCACTTCTGGCTTTTTTTGGTAGTTTACTAGAGATTAAAAATCTCACAGGCTAGCCAGTCCACTAGTGGCTCAAACCTATAATCCTGGCTGCTCAGGAGACTGAAATATGAGGATTACAGTTCAAAGCCAGCCTGGGCAGGAAAGTTCGTGAGACCCTTATCTCCAATTAACCACCAGAAACCCAGAAGTAGAACTGTGGCTGAAAGTGGTAGAGTGCTATCTTTGAGCAGAAAAACTCAGGGAGACTATTAAAAAACAAAGTCTCACAGGCTTTTGCCCTTCAAACAGCAATCCTCAGGCTACTCAGCCTTCTGAGTAACTAGGATTACAGCCATGAGCTACTAGTGCCCAGCTAACATTTTAGAGATCCAATTACCCTTTAACAATTTCAAAGTTAAAGTCCATGAAGTTGTATGACCTAGATCTAAAGAGCCTATTTGAACTCTGTTTAATATCCTTATTATTGGCTGGCTCCCAACTAAATTCTACCAGAAACAACCCCTGGGAAAAGAGTTTGTACTGAGAAAGGGGAGGATCTCAGCTACAGATGTGCTATGATTCTCAAGCCCCAAGGTTCATTTCAGGCAAGTGTAGCAAGTGTATAAAAAGATATTAGATTAAGTATTTGCTAACAAATGTGTCTTCCAAAAAATTGTATTTTCCTATTATTACACCCCTTACGAAATTATGTTAAGAATTACTTTAGTAATGTGTTAAAGTACAATAAAAGGGCAAGTGTGTATCTTTGTAATTCACTATGTCTTCTGTCCCCAGTTTCTAGCACAGGGCTCAAAAAAAAAAAAAAACTAGAAATTACTGAAAGTCTGTCTCAGTATTTACAACAATAATCACACCTGAATTTACACTAATAAGCTTAGGAGGGGCTATCTGCAAGGAAATGTGGCAGGTCACCAGAATAAGTGATTGGAGGACTGTAACTTTCAAGCTCATCCACCAAAGCCCCAAGGAGGAAAAAGGAAGAATGAAGATGGAGTTGAAGAAAACTGACCAAGGCGATCAGGAAAGCTTGTGGTTTGGTGAACTACTGAGGTGCTCGAAGGTCACACTTAGCATGAGAGCTCTCTCACCCTATAACTCTATTCTTCATAACAGAGCGCTTGCATAGCATGCCTGAAAGCCCTGGGTTCAATTCCTCAGCACCACATACACCAAAAAAGCCAGAAATGGCACTGTGGCTCAAGTGGTAGAGTGCTAGTTGAGCAAAAGAAGCTCAGGGACAGTGCCCAGGCTCTGAGTTGA